TGCAGATCATTTGAGCCATTTAGCTCATGTGATCGATGAACTTCAGTTGTAGGAATCATTCCTCGACGAGCAATTGCTCGTTGCCAATGCAACACTACCTTGGCATGTAAATATAGTAAATTATTTAGTTACTAATGAATTTCCTCCTGAATTGTCTAGGGCTCAACGGGACAAAGTTCAAAGTGATGCTAAGTACTATGTGTGGGATGACCCATACTTATGGAAGCATTGTACAGATCAAGTGATAAGAAGGTGCATCCCTCAAAGTAAAATCATGTCCATTCTCACTTTTTGTCGTTCCTATGCATGTGGGAGGTAATCTATCCCAAAGGAATGAAAAGTCACAAACACCCATACTCGTTTGTGAAATTTTTGATGTTTGGAGCATCGATTTCATGGGACCATTTCCTACATCTTTTGGTTATGCTTATATTTTACTTGTTATTGACTATGTTTTGAAATGGGTGGAAGCAAAGGCCACCAGGACTAATGATTCCAAAGTAGTTGTAGATCATATTCTCTAGGTTTGGAACCCCAAGGGCTCTGATAAGTGACTGAGGCACTCATTTCTACAATCGAACTGTGGAAGCCTGTTGCGAAAATACCATGTAACCCACAAGGTGTCCAATGCCTATCATCCACAAACTAGTGGACAAGTGGAGGTGTCAAATCGGGAAATCAAATCCATCATTGAGAAGATAGTCTGTCCAAGTAGAAAAGATTGGAGTTTGGGCATAGATGAAGCTTTATGGGTATACATAGTCACATACAAGACCACACCCATTGGAATGTCACCTTACCAATTAGTGTTTGGAAAACCATGCCATCTTCCAGTCGAATTAGAACACAAGGCTTTTTGGGCTATCAAAAGTTCCAACATGAAGATGAATGAGAGTGAAGAACACAGAAAGTTGCAACTTCAAGAATTAGAAGAAATTCGCAATGATGCCTATGAGAGTACAAGAATTTACAAAGAAAAGATGAAGGCTTTCCATGACAAAATGATCTCCAGGAAGGAATTTAAAATTGGTCAAAAAGTCCTTCTATACCATTCGAGACATCGTTTGTTCCTAGGTAAATTGCATTCTTGTTGGATTGGACCTTTTGTTGTTACTAATGTCTTCCACCTCATGGTGCAGTTGAAATACAAAATTTGGTAACTTCAAAAGTGTTCAAGGTGAATGGTCATAGACTTAAACTTTTCTATGAAGGTGTCCAAGTGGAGGAGGTGACAACATTGGATATTAAAGATCCAATTTATGCCAATTGAAGAAGAACCAATAAGTCTAGCCAAAGACAATAAAGAAAGACACTGCTTAAGAGGCAACCCAAGGGGAGTTCTATCCTTTATTTTTTTGCTTTTATTTTTATTTTTGCATTCATGTTATGATTATCTTTATCCTTCTCATTGAATTTTACTCTACATTGAGGAAAATGTAAGTTTTAAGTGTGGGAGAGGAAATTTAGGTTAGTTTAAATTTTTTAGTTATTTTTGATAAAACTAAAAAAAAAAATGATTTTTGGGTTTCGAATGAGCTTTGGTTGTGTGTGCTATTTGCTAGATTCAATTAAGCTTTTGAAGAACTCATAATATGATTGAACGGATTATCTCACAACTTAGAGTTAATTAGTTAAGTTATTTTTTTAGAGGATGGTAGTAACTAAATTTTGTAGACAAAAAGTCAGTGAGATTTTGAGCCTTTAGACTTACTCATCATACTAGTCTCACTATTTTTCTTTCTTGAGTGATATTCTTCCATGGACTTGTTTCTCTAGAACTTGCCTTGATTCTCTTCGAGGTCACATTGATACATGCATGCATGAACATGATTAAGGCCATCTTTGTTGCATAAGTTAGCCACCTTAGCCAAATAGCCTACCTAGCAACTAATTTTACCTTTTGTTAAGCCCCTTTGAACCTTATAGCCTTTTTCTTTTGTAAACCCATGTTACAAACTTTAAATCCGAAAAATAATATCTTGACCCAAGCCATAGAGCTAGTGGGGTATTGTTCTTCATTTTGATACATGGGAGTGTGAAAGAAATAAGTGTGGGGGTGTCTAAAATTTTGGTAAGGTTATGAAGGTGGAATGGAACATGTTCTCAATTACAATTCATAAGTATTAGTGCAATATTTTGAGTTAAAAAAAAATTGAAAAAAAATGATGAAAAATACGAAAGAGAAAAAAGTGATGGAGGAAATAGTTTCCAATGTTACAAAATTATTTTATGTTCATGATTCCTCCTAATATATTATAAGGGATTGGGTTGCGTGAAATAGGTGCAAAGAAGTTGTGAGTGGGGAGATTGATCTTACACATTTTATGTATACGTTTGAGTTGAGGTAATTCATCTTTACTCCACTAGTTCAATGACTTTTGAGTCACTTACCCAAATACTTCCTACCTGGACCCTAGGCCATGTTATAGCCCATACAAAAGAGTGAGGTTTTACATGAGAGTGAGTGCTTATATTCCGTGAGGTTTTACATGTTTGGTTTACTCCATCTTCATATGAAAGCGCTTGCTAGTTGATTATGAGTTCACGCATGCTTGTTCATGATGTGTTATGTATTTTAAAGAGTTTGATTGTTCTACGTTGATTGCATTACAATTTTGATATTTTTGGGAAAAATAAAATTTGAGTTTACTCGAGGACGAGCAAAAGCTAAGTGTGGGGAATTTGATAGGAATGTAAAATGTCATATTTTTCATTCCTTCACCTTATGCTTTTGTGATAATTAATGCCTAAATGTATTGAGTACCCTTATATTTTGATTTAGATTGCAAATAGATGAAAAATATGGAATTTGGAAGAAAAGAGCGAGAAATGATCTAAATGGAAGAAAGTGAAAAGCTCAGGGACCAAGTTGCAAATAAGTTTCCAAAAAAGTTATGCACTGATTTTTAGTATCATATTGAGACCCATTTTTGACATGGTAGAAGATTGAATTGGAAGATGACATTTGAATCAAAGTTGTAGCCCTTTGAATTAGATTTCCAACATCGGAAGAGAAAGTTATGAGCAAGACACTGAAAGCTATCCGGCAGAGAAGACCTTTGAACTATGTGACCACATAGTTAAAAATCCATGCGGTCGCATGGTAACCTCCAGGGAACTAGGCTGCATTTCAATTGTTTCTCGCGATCGCATGGTAACCTCCAGGGAACAAATACATAATTGTTTGATATCTTTAACATTATGAGGCAACTAGAGTTTGATTAATCGTTGCTTTAGATGTTATTAAATTCTATGGAGGATATTTGACTAGATTAAATATGACCACTTGTGATTATGCTGTTTAGTTTTATTGATTTCTCTAGTTCCCATGCTATTATTAAATTAAATCTTAAATACTTTTCTTAGGATACTTGATAATAAGGATCGATTCTTGTTTTCCGATTAATTACAACTAAAGAGAAATAGAAAATATAAATTCCAACGATCAATGCTAAAAATATGAATTGTTAATTAGTTATGGATCTATGATTAGTTCGGAATTCCTACGGAGGATATTGACTTAGACCAAGGTTCGTTCTATTGATTTAATCAAATTTATTAAATTGCATTGCTTTTAGTTAGAATTGATTTTATCACAAATAAAACCCCCCGTTATTGATAACATTGCATAAAATTAGACTAATCACTCTTCGTGGGAACGATTCTTATTTCTACTTTTCCACTACTACATACATTTTTTAGGAGTGTAGGTTTTATTATTTTTGGGTACCTGCGATAGCACGCCACCTTGGGAACATTAAGATGAGAATACCTTCCTTCGAAGGTAGAAATAATCCTGATGTTTATTTGGAGTGGTAGAAAAAGTTGGAGTTGATGTTTGATTGCTATAACTATAATGTCACAACCCCCATTTATACTAATAACTATACAGTAACTTGTTTGGAAATGAAATTGATGACTTAGACACAGGAGTTCAGAATTCCTTCTCTCTCTCTCTCTCTTTTCTTTTTTATTTTTATGAAATGAAATAGCATATCCACATTAAGGTCCCTATATTTTGCGGTCTGGTCTCTTACGATGTGCATATAGTACGTTATGACCAAATACTATATAACCAAATTTCAACACATTTATTCTGAGGATTACAAAAGTAACTACCATGCAATTTCAAAAGTAAACATATACAGTACAGGATTGTCCAAATATAATACAACAGATCATAAGACCCAAATAACAGCCCACAAAATAACCCTATATGTCGTTATCCATGTACATCAAATTTCGAAAATCTGAAAGAGCTTCACAGCTATGACAACATGCCAATTATTTTAAACATTATCCTAAAGATGCGTCATAATCAAATATTTGTCAAAGTCAACTTGAAATAACATCATTTGAAATCTTTTAATTGGCCCTTAGCCTATCTATTACACACCAGATGAGCTCTACACAGTATCAATATCAATAATCAATAATCAAATAACCAATATGAAATCGACACCGACGATTAGACCACCCTCTTTGACCACTAGATGCCCATCTCCTAACTGCCCCTATGATCACCCAAGAATTATTCTACCCGGCAGTGCCAATAATCATAACTTCACAAGGGCACAATCAAGTGGTCTACCCTCTCGTGATCACCAGAGGCCCATCCCCTTTCAAGGGGTAGGCGTGGGTTGGGTTGGGTTGGTTTTTGCCCCAACCCAAATCCAACCCAACATGGTCTGTTTGATTGAAATTCAACCCAGCCCAACCCATGGGAGGATTGAAACCCAACCCAACCCAACCCAACCAAATGTTAGTCGGGTTGGGTTGGGTTGGTCGATTCGGGACAATATATCAACAAATATTAAAGTCACCAAAATATTGAGAAATCATGATCTAAACATGCTTTTTGTTTTTAAAAGACCACTGCCATCAAGAGCACCAGCTAAACATTCCAAACAAAAACAAATTAATAGTAAATGTACCAAGCTTAACAACATTCGACCTTGAGAAAATTGTAACTTATCGAAACAAAAAGTCAAGAAACAAACCTGTTCACTGTGACCCTGCAGAAAATATACCACATGGCTCCCAACAACAGGTAGAGAAATGAGACGATTAGGACATGCATGCCAAAGTTCAGAATTCAAGCAATTCTTATCACCTGGAAATCAAACTAAAATTATAAAAATTCTTGTACTATTACTATATCCTCATAGAATGGTATTAGTTTGAAGAATAAATTTTTTGGTGTGAATTTCGAAATCACAAAGCATTAATGGCAAAAAAATTAATAACTACGATATCATATAGAAGAGACATATATAGGGAAGGGAATCTTGAAATAAATCCTTTCAATCCTAAGAATTATAATAAAATCACCCTTGTTCAAGAATCAAGATAGAAAAACTCACAGAGAAAAGAGGGATATGAAAGCTTATTTTTTTGATATGAAAGCTTATTTTCTTTTTCATCCAACTGTCCCCATTGAAGCCTCCCCCTCCCCCAAGCCAAAATTTGATTTCCAAGAAATTCATATGCCAAATCTTGAACTGATCATCAACCACATTTCAGCTAAAAACCACCACAACACCTAATCTTTTAGCTTTAACCGAGAAATTTACAATTTATAAGCCCCAAATTCCTCAAAGAACACAAATCTTTTAGATTCAAAAATCTAAATCAAAACCTTAAAAACCCAGCTCAGATCTCGGTGACCGACGTGGAAAACTGAAAATTGAAGATGGCTGCCGGTGCCATCGACGATTTGAGCGGGAGCAGCGAAGCAGGAGATAATGAGAGACTAATGAGATTTTTTAGGGCTTCTGTTGCGTTTATGAATGAAGACATTGATTGAAGAGTGACTTTTATTTTTTATTTTTTCATTTTTTTCCAGTAGCCAGTAGGCGGGTCGGTTTGGGCAGTTTTCATTGGGTTTTATTGTTTAACCCATAAACCGACCCAACCCAAACCGCCAACTTAAACACAGAACCGAACCCACTTAAAAACAACAAAAAACCCAACCCAAACCTGTCGGGTCAATTCGGTTTGGGCGATTTCTTGGGTCCGATCAGTTTTTTGCCCACCACTACCCTTTTCTACCTTTACAATCACCCAGGAAGTATCACCTGTGATGCCAAAATATATCACATAAGCATGCCTCACATGTCTCAGTGCTCCAATAGTGGTCAACAAAATATTTATGAGGTAAAACTCAATTTTAAAATCAAGTTGTTCATGTTGGATTTTCAGCCATGGATATATGTCATGCATGCTCATGAAAATGCTGGTGAATAACATGCTTAATCAACATCGATGTCAATACCAAAAGCACATACTCAATAATCATAATCGTTCATATGATATACAATGAGATTGTTATCAAAGCTATGTAAATGTCTCAATGTTATTATCTCACAAACTATATGTTCTTGCATTGTAGTTACGAATAGATTTTTACTTACCTTCTTGCCTTTGTGTGTGATCTTTCTACGGAGTGTAGACGAATTTTCCTTTTTCACCTAAAGTCGGAAAACCACTTATATTACCATTTAATATTAAACACGATTCAATTTAATAATTTTAACACACACAATCCAAAAATACATCAATCCAATTGTTGTCAACAACCTAGCACTCCTAAAAATCTATTTTATAGGTCTAAAAGATGATTAGTGCATATGTAAAACTACCCAAAATGGACAGAATATGTTTTCGGGATTCCATCACCATTCAATTATTTTCCAATCCTTTTTCACCCTCTTAACCATATCCAATGACTCCCAAATTTTTACCACACTTCTATAACATGTATTTGAAGATAATCATGCTATAAAGTTGTGATAAGTGAAGGGTTTGCAGCTTCAAAAACAGTCCCTTGGTTTGCAGCCAGTCCTAAAAATCTATTTTTCAGGTCTAAGAGATTATTAGTGTATATGGACAGAATATGTTTTCAGGTTTCCATCACCATCCAGTTATTTTTCCAATCCTTTTCACCCTCTTAACCATATCCAATGACTCCCAAAATTTTACCACACTTCTATAACATGTATTTGTTTTTACCACACTTCTATAACATGTATTTGAAGGTAATCACGCTAGAAAGTTGTGACAAATGAAGGGTTTACAGCTTCAAAAATAGTCCCTTGGTTTGCAGCCTCAAAAAGTCCCTTTTTCAAAACACCAAATGAGGCAATTTCCTTATGATTGCTTTCGGTTTCCATTGTATTAGTATGCGACCAATTAGATTCTAGGCCATTAAAAATAATTTCTATACTTCTTGTTTGCATATAAAAGTGAATTATTGATAGATATAATTTATACTCTAAGTATCGTCCAAAATCAAGGTTTAAACCAGTCAAATCTGGCCATCCACATCTCTGTCCAGGTTGTTTTCTTTCAAGTTCTTGTAATTAATTGCCCCTATTTTTGCCATCATAAAGTCATCAACAATCCTCCCCACCTAATCTCAAGCAAGTTCAGAGTTTCAATAGGTCATAAAATACCAAAAAGAACTAAAGAAAAACTACACAACCATGAGTTCAACTCACCTGCTCAAATTAGAATACCAACTTCTTGTTTTCTATTACTCTTTGCTTCCTTTGCCTCTCTTTCACTTGGGGATACCTTTGGAGGGTTAAATGTCTTATTTACGAGATTGGGGTCGTGAGTGATGATAATTAAGGGTGAAGAGATTTGAGATTAAAGGACAAGTATCCCCAAACATGAGGTGTCCAAGTAGGATGTGGCTTCATGCAGCCAAATTTGAATTTTCGCTTACACTATATGGAGCCATATGTGACTTAGAAGATTTATATCTATCCGATATTTAGTGCTAAGGGTTTAGAAGACGTGCTAGAGGCCTTAAGGTTGAAGAAATGAGATGTTAAAGACACAAGTTATCACATGTTAAGTAGAGACCTTTTTCGTTAAATTCTGATTTTGTACCTTGGAGGATTTTTACGAAATTTAGGGATAACATATACATATTTTAAGTCCTAAAGGAGTGGTCGACATGACTAATGCTTAAGTGTGAAGGAATAGGCATGAGGTGTACTAAGCACGAGGTGGTCTCTTGTGGTTAAAATCTTATTTTGCACCTATCCTTGCAGGTACAAATCAAGTATGCTTGGTTTATTTTAATATGTTTACAATTCACTTTACTTGCCTAAGATCCCAAAAATATTTATAGAGCTTATTCCTTAACCGTTCATTTAATTACTTACCCCACCAACACCCGATTTCAACGATTTGCACATCAATATTTATAACATAATATAAACTCATCTAGTTACATTTTGATCATGTCACTTTAGGTCTCATGCTTAAAATGTATCAATCACCTATCTAGGGTTCATGGTTATCTTGATGAACCGAATGGAAAACTTGAAAATTTATCGATACTTATTGTGACCTTTTCAATATTCCCATTGCTTACCAAAATAATCTCCAACGTCTAGATTACCCTGATTTTCCCCACCTAGGTCGAGGAGTTGAAGACTAACACCATATAAAGATCTTAGAACTTCAATAATCAAATGCACTGTTTTAAGAGAAATCAATTAGAAAAATTGATGCAAATGACATTATAAATAGCATGAAATGCATGAATCATATTTGCCAAATGTGTAACATGAAGTTTGAGGTATTACATCCTCCCCTTTCTATAAAAACTTCGTCCTTGAAATTTGCTTTCTAAAAAGTTCAAGTTGTTTGTCTTCTCTTTCCCAAGTGGCCTATTCTATTGACTGATTCTGCCACAATCTTTGACCAATGTAATTTTCTTGCTTATAAGTTGCTTTACCTCTCGTTGAAGAATCTCTGCAGGTTTTTCTTTGTAAATCAGATCAGGTTTTATCTCCTTCTATTTGCTCTTCACTATAAGAGAAGGATTTCCAATGTATTTTCTTAGTATGGACATATGAAACACATTGCGCACTTGAGACATTGATGAAGGAAGTTCAAATTTGTAGACAACATTTCCAATTCTCTCGATAATAGAAAAAGGACCAATATATCTCAGCTCAGCTTTCCTTTCTTTCCAAACTGCATAACTTCTTTCATTGGCGCTATCTTCAAAAATACTTGATCTCCTACAGTAAATTCAAACATTATTATTCTTTGGGTTACATAGTTTCTCCGTCAATTTTGAGTAGTTTGCATCCATTGACGTATTTGTATTACAACTTCAGCCATTTTCACGTACCATATCTGGACCTAATAGTTTCTTTTCTCCAACCTTATCCCAATAAAGAGGAGATCTACATTTTTTTGCCATATAATGATTCATAAAGAGCCATTCCAATCATAGCCTGATAACCATTGTTATGTGAAAATTCCACCAATTGCAAAAATTTACTCCACTGGCCATGGAAATCCAATACGTAAGCCCTTAACATATCTTTCAATATTTGTATTGTTTTGTAACAACCCAAATATATAGATAACCATATACGGCACGCTGTAGAAATGATAATGATGACTTAACCTAGACACAGGGTTTCACACTTTTTTTTAAAGATAAAATGAAATAAGCATCTTCACAATGAGGTCCCTGTACATTTTTGCCTGGTGACCTATGATGCACATATGGTATGTTATGACCAAATACTGTATAATCAAATTATAACATATTTATTTTAGGGATTCCAAAAGTATCTATCAAGCCATTTCAAAAGTCATATGTACAGTACATAAGACTTCAAATATAATAGAATAGATTATAAGACCAAAATAATAGCCCACAAGATAACCCTTCAGGTCATCATCGATATACTTGAACTCTAAAATCCCGTATGAGCTCCACAGTTATCCTTGACCTCTATGAAGTCCCATGCTCATCTACAATGCAATAACTACATAAGCTAATGCTCAGTAAGAAAAATCATGCATGTCATAGTATGAGTAATAATGATATATGATACTATGTCATTCATTTTAAACATTATGCTAAAGATGCATCATATTCCAATATTCATCAAAGTCAACTTGAAATCATTTCATTTGAAATCTTTCATTTCATTGGGCCCTTGATCCACCTACTATGCATCGGATAAAGCTCTGCATAATATCACTATCAATAATCAAATGACCAATTTGAAATCGACACCAGTGAGTAGACCATCCTCTCATGATCAATCTCTGCCTATCCCCTAACTACCTCGATGATCACCTAAGAAGTATCCCACCCGGCAGTGGCAATATCATAATAACACAAAGGCACAATCGAGTGATTTATTCTCCCATGATCACCCAAGGCTCATCCCATGTCTACCTTTGCAATCACCTAAGAAGTATCACCCGCAATGTCAAAATATATCACATAAGCATGCCACACATGCCTCGATGCCTTGGTAGTGGTCAATAAAACATTTATAAGGAAAACCGAATTTGAAATCATGTTTTGCATTAAAATTTTTAACCATGATCATATGTTGTGTATGTTGATGAAAATGCTCATGAATGACCTGTTTAAAGAAAATCGATATCAATGGGTTTCCCAACCTATCAAAGTTATGTAAATATTCCAACATTACAAATACCAAAAATGCTAGGTTCTTGCATTGTAGTTGCAAATGGATTTTTACTTACCTTTTTGTCTTTGCGTGTGACCTTTTTATAGGGCGTAAGTCAAGTGCTTTTCTCCTCTAACGTCTAAAGGCAACATGTATTAACATCTAATATTAAAAAAGTTCCATAATTCGATAATCCTAATCCACACAATTTCATACTAAGTGCTTTGATGCCAACATATTTTAGATTAACACTACAAGCATCCAGCCATATAATACCCGTCACTTTCCAGTTCTACGAATTTAAACA